TTTGTTTCAAAATGTATATTTTATGTTCCTTCTATCATTGTTTTTATAAGAGCAAACATTGGACATATAGCCTGTATATCCAGCATTGAGGAGACTGACTAAATTGTGGTGACTAGAATAGTATACAGTCAGTAAAATGTTATAAATGCATAATAGTTTACATGAAAAGAAAGGAGACATATGTCACAAAACCACAAAGATATGCTTTAAAGATATTAAAGTTTTAAAGGTCAAATAAATGCTTCCCCAGCATAAAGATGACTGAAATTCCAAGTCTTACATTAATTTGGTAGAATGAAAATGACATGTTTTGAAGTAAACGAAAGATGCTTTTGTTTTTCACTTTTTAGTATTCTCACGTTCATTTCTTCCTAAAGACTCTGTAATAGTTGGGAGTTTTCATACAGAGAAAATAATAATTCAATTTAGTTTCACCGATTTCCCTTTTTAACAAACTTGATTTTAAGAATTATATTTTTATAAAAAAATTAGTTATTTATGGATACAAGAGCTGGGGTGTAGGCCAGAGGTTTTGGGGGTGAGACTATTTACCAAAGACAGAGTGGGGAGCAGAACAGGCAGCTCGATGGAAGTACACTGCTGAGGGGAGCAGTGGGCAGGTCAGGAGAGGTCTGCTGTGCTATGTGGGCCACCTCCAGGGCCAGGGTTTGAAGTCACCCTGCAGTGACTGTGAATAGCTTCCTAGTTACTGCTGAACTTTAACCCCTTGTGACTCCAGGGAAGTCTTCCAGGCAAGAATTACTAATTGGTAGCTTGTAGACCATTGAGTGAGGTGGATGTCCATTTGAATTCACGGTAATGTAATGAGATTTCTATGAAGTTAATAATCTGTTCATCTTTCTCCCATTATGATAATCATTTTTAGTTTGTTTTTACAATACTCATGCTCTCCAGTTATTTGACATCAAATACCTCTACATTTTAGGAAGAGGAAATAAGTCTTTTTTCCTTTCAGTTTGCTAGTTGTATCCATTATTTCCTGTCTGATAGAGGACAGTACTGTTTTGTGCAGTAAATTTTCCTCCATGTAAATTTTCTGAGCACAGGTTTTCTTAGCTTGTGATAAAGATCCTATAAGACAGTAATGACTCAGCAATTAGGTTACTACCTATCAGTAACATCTGGGAGCAGACTTAGTATTTGTGCCTTTCTAGTCTTTTTTTTTTTAATCTAAAGTATTGAAACATTAAAGATCTCTAGTGCTTTGGCATCTTGATTGACTCTTACCCTTCTGTGACTGACCACCAGCTTGTATCTCACTTCATGGCATTTCCTGTGTTTGCTCCTCTAGTTCCAGCGTCACTGTTTTGTCCTGTTGAGTGAAGTTGGACAAAATCATGAGGTGTGCGAACTTGCATCTACCTTAAAGCCCGTTCATTCTTCCTAATTAGGTGATTAGAAGGAGAGCATCCAAGACAAGTGTGACCAGCCATCTTCTTTTATAGATTAACGACACATCATACTCTTGACTTGCTATTGCAAAGGAATTTCAGAATTTACCTGCTTCCGGTCTTGTAGCTGAACCAGTGCCCAGCAAAATACAGAGGTTGCTGAGCTGACACAACCTTGTGGTAGCTTCCTCTACCACTGCACAAGGGCTTAAGCTGTTCTGATACATCCCATGCAGGTATTTCTCCTACGTCTTTCAAGTACTGCTTAACCCTGACTGTTGCTTTTGAGCTCACCACAGAATCACCTATGTTCCTTCCATGAGGTTTGATGACATTATCTGGTTGATATATAAACCAGTTGAGGATACTCATCTCCACTGCGAAGCTAAGGTCTCACCCAGACCTTAAATTCCCACCCCATAAATCAACTCTTCAGAATACTGGATTATTTAATACCTGGTTCATGTTCAGAGTGTGGATCCTGGAGTCAGATTTCAGGCTTTCAGAATTTTTTTTTTTTTTTAATTTCTGTCTTCCGTGAGCTTTAGTAAGTTGTTGAACCTCTTAACTTAGTTTCTCATCTGAAACAACGGAGCCTGACAGTCATCTTTATAGCACTGTTTCTGGAGCAAGAAATGAAGGCATGGCCGAGGGTGACACCGTCGGGAGATGGTAGTAAGGGGCCTCGTTGGTGTCCTGCTGTTCCTCCTCTGTGCATTTAGTCAGGGCACTGACGCTCCCTGGGAACACCGTGACCCTC